CTCTCTCTCTCTCTCTCTCTCTCTCTCTCTCTCTCTCTCTCTCTCTCTCTCTCTCTCTGTGTGTGTGTGTGCGTGTGTGTGTGTGTGTGTGTGTAGATGTCTATATATTACACAGGGAAAGAGGCTTTACCATTGCTCTTTAAAAAGTAGCAATGAGAGACTGCCAACTTGAACTATGCATTGCTCAAGCAGGCAAGTGGTTTAATCCTCCATCCCACATCTCTGCCTGCACTTTACATGGACCTGGCCAGTCAATCTCTTCTCTGTGTTTTTCCCCTCCCCCTCTATTCTGCCTCTTTCTCACAGTCCATAGTATTGACAGTTCACCACAAGTCATTGTTGCCTCCTGGGAAGTAATCAATGACACAGTCTCACAATCTCTCAACCATAATGGAGACTGGAGTGTGTAACTTTTGTAAAGGATGCTGGACCAGCCTCCAAAGGGAAAGGGGAAAAAAAAGAAAAAAAAAGCTGGCCTGGTAACTTCCCGTTCTTTTTTTTTTCTTCTTCTTTTCCCGTTCTATCCCTGCACTGTTAACATTTGACAAAATTGCAAACAAGGGCAAACAATTTGTAGAAAGGTCAAGAAAGTTGCCTAAGTTCCTATATTTACAGACCAGTCCCAAGTCACAGGCACAGTTCGCAGAAAAACAGATGTGTATTAGGTACAACATGCTGAGATCAGCTGGACTACGGCCGAGGCAAACTTGTCGCACTACAAGGCAGCCTGCTCTTGCGCTTGCTAGCAATCCATCCTCTACCTGAACCCCCTTCCTGGTCAACCCCTTAGATAGGGATTCAATCGATGATATCAAAAGGGCGGCAGAGGGGTTATTTGGAAAGCATGATGCCAAGAGAGTCTGATAGATCATTCGGACTTGGGTCTTAGAGAGGCACGACTCGAACTGGGGCCTTGGCGTAACAGGCCTCCAGGTTACTAGTTGCAGAGATGGTGGAGAAAGAACAAAGGTGCCTGCACGAGCCAGTCTAACTGAATATGGCATAGTTCACTGACCACCATTAACGCTGGCAAACATGGTCAGACACACAATGGTTAAATGGTATGTCGCCACTTTGTTCTTGCAGTAAGAGAGGAGGAGAGAAGGAAGAGGACGAGGAGCATAGGGAGGAGAGGAGGGGAGGAGGAAGAGAGGAATGCGAGAGGCGAACGGGAGAAGGAGAGAATGGGTAGAGGAGGAGAGGGGAAGAGAAGAGGAGAGGAAGATAGGCGGCGAGGAGCAGAGAGGAGGAGAAAAGAGTAGGGGGAAGACAGGAGGAAGAGAAGGAAGAGAGGAGGAAGAGAGGAAGAGAGTAGGAAGAGAGCGGGAAGAGAGCCGGAAGAGAGCATGAAGAGGAGCACGAGAGGGGAGGAGAAAAGGAGGAGAGGGGAGGAGAAGAGGAGAGGAAGATAGGCGGTGAGGAGCAGAGAGGAGGAGAAAAGAGGAGTAGGGGGACGACAGGAGGAAGAGAGAAGGAAGAGAGGAGGAAGAGAGGAAGAGAGTAGGAAGAGAGCGGGAAGAGAGCACGAAGAGAGCACGAAGAGGAGCACGAGAGGGGAGGAGAAAAGGAGGAGAGGAGGAAGATGTGCTGTGATATGCGATAAATCGCTGTTTCCGAGTGGGGCTGTACACTAAGTGTTCGGCTCTGTAGTTTGTTTTCTTGTTTTGAGCCTTGGGGGACTTGATCCTGTGACCTGTAACTTGTATGTTTTGTTTGTTAGTTTTGAGACCTATTGGGCTTGACCCCTAGATCCGTCACTAGTAGCCCCTATGTAGCAGTCTTAGGCCATGCGGCCTTTTCCTTTTGCCTTGCCAGGGGGTTGGGTCCCCTTTTTCCTAGTTTCTGGGTAGATGGTAGATACAGATGGGCCTTGGGCTGCTGTCTTGGGAGTCCGTCCAGGTCTAGTCCGTGAGTTGAAGTAGCAGGTAGGAAATTGGTTTGGGGGTCTTTTCACGTTTTCGTTGGCTGGGGAAACTCTGCCCGTCTGTTGTTGGAGCGCTGCTGTGATATTTTGGGCGAGGTCATCTTCTTCATCGAAGCCCAGCCATAGCTGGGGTTGGGAAACGAAGCTGAAGATCGCACTGCTGCTATTTTGCAGCTCTGCATGAGAGCTTCCACAGGACTGTGTTGTTGGGTTTGGGCGCTGCCGTTTTTCACTTGGCAGCCATATCTGCTGTTTCTCCTCGTGAGGAACTTCATCTTCTTCGAAGTGCTGGATCGGTTGTCTCCTTCTTCATCAGGACTTCCAGCACTGCACTTCCGTGCGGGCGCTGCTATCATTGAGGTTGCTGGCTCAGATGGGCACGTTGTGACAGCTGTGGGGTTACTGCTGCTACGGCAGCCATAGCCAGGGGTATGAGGTGGCGAGGAGGAAGAAGAAGACTCCTGCATACTTCATTGAACACTTGTTTTTGGTTGTTCGGGGTTGTTGTAAACGCGGTTGTGATTCTTGGAACAAGTACTCTGGATTGATTGGAGGAGGACGGGGGATTGCAGAATTGAAATTCGTTTTTCAATTCTCTGTGTATTTTGAGCTTCCACTGCGCATATCTTCTCTCCGGTTTTGTGTGGATTTGCCTCCTTCGATTCTACTCTGCAATTGCATGTGTGAATAGGAACGTGTGAATTTGTTGTGGGATGAAGCTCAATCGGGTACATAACAGATAAGTGCAGCCGAACATCTCATAGAAATTGGTATGATCAGATTATGTTAGTGGATGTCTGTGCTGCTGGCCACGTATTGTGCCTGCTTCGCTGACGAGAGTAGTGCTTGTTTGTGCCATTGTTGTTGCTTTGTGCTGTTTTCTTTTCCATCGATGTTAGCTTCAAAGTTCAAGACGGATCGGCCATGTGTGAACTCGCATCTCATGAAGATGCTGTACAAGCTGTTGTGTTTGATCCCGTAAACAAGTACATGGTATCAGCTGGTTCTGATTGCACATTTAGATTGTGGACTTGAATGATCGCTGTACCCAGAGGCAAAGCTCACTCACACATCTGCAGTCAGCCGTGAATATGAGTGATGGCTTCGCTAATCCCAAAAAGTGCATATACATGAGTGATGGTGGTGCTCGTGATAAAACTTGCTTATACTTTCGATCTATGCTGAGGGACGAAGAGGAGGGAGGGGGAGAGGCGAAGAGAGGGGGGCGGATAATTAAGAGGCAACTGGAATGCTGGTTCATGCTTCTTGTTGGTGTACCATGTATCTTCCGTTAGCAGGCTGTGCTTTTGTCTCCCTTTTTTTGGGTGTGTGGTCTGTGTGTGTTTGTGATCATGTGTGGATCTGTGTGTGATCATGTGTGCGATACAAATCCTCAACCGTCAAGCTACACACTTCTCCACAGATAAAAGAACCGGACATGAACTCCCAGAGGTGTGTTCCAACTTCCAAAGCTTCCCAGCCCAGTGCATTTTTGAGCATAAGACCCAAGTGTGCTCAACACAGGTGCTTGACGAAGACTATAAAGTACACAGACGACATGCAGTAGCAACAGAACAAATCAAACACATGGGGTTAATGAAAGAGTGTTTCATTGGACTCTCACCGACACGTCACGAGGCTGAACCTTCGATATCCTGTAGCATCCCCATATTGATGCTTGGGGTCATAAACTGCTTTGACCCCTGTTCCAAGTGGACAGCCCCGTGGGCACGAAGCAAGCAGCAAGGCAGGGACTGTAACGCAAGCAGTGCAGGCAAGTAGCAAGGAACCAAGATGGCAGTGGGCCAACGGTAAAGCACAGGGGAGGGCAGGTGGGAACAGCAAGGAAGCAAGGCAGCAAGGAAGGTGAGCGGACAGAAAAACAAGGCAAGGAGACGAGGAAGCGAAAAGGAAGCGCAGCAGGCAAAACAGCAGAGTGGCAAAGGTACAGGCGAGCAGGATGGAAAGACAAGGGAAGATGAGTTGCGGCCAGCAGCAAAGCATCACTGACCAGGCAGTCCACACATCGAACATGGACCGAAGTACATCATCATCTGCGCACACCACGAGGAGAAATCTACAGGCTGTAGGTTTACTCCACGATTGGAGCCAGGGTTTCACTCTGACGAGGTTCTGTCTTCGCCAGGGAATACACAGGCACACAGGCATCCGGAAAACAGCAGCCAATCTAATAAAGTTGCAGACACTGTATACAAACAGCACTGACTATTTGGCACATCTTATGGTTGCTCACATAGACAGCGGAGAACACACGATTGGAGCCAGGGTTTCCCTCCGATGAGGTTCAGTCCTCGCCAGGAATACACAGGCACACAGGCATCCGGAAAACAGCAGCCCATCTAAAAATGTTGCAGACAATGTATACAAACAGCACTGACTATTTGGCACATCTTATGGTTGCTCACCTAGACAGCGGAGAACACAAAAAACTAGTGGGAACACGAGATGGACAGCGCAGAAAATACTTGGAAGAGGAAGAAACGATATTAGAGAGATGATTTTGTGTCTGTGTATGTGTGTATGTGTGTGTGCTATGACTTGTGTGCTATGACTTCTTCCCCTAACTTTCCCATAACTGATCAGCAAAAAAGCATGCATGAGAGAGGCTCATCAAAGACTCACCTCCACTGAAAGCTCCGGATCAGATGCCATAGGTGCTGTATTCATGTTTGGAGAGCATAAACCTGGTTGTAATTATGGCCGTGTTCCTCTTCTATTAGCTCAAGCGGATGCCCACTGTGGCTATGCTGGTGGCGCACACTGGCTCCTCTTCTCCGTCTTCCTCTACCACCTCCTCCTCCCCCTCGTTCTGCCACCTCCTCCCCGTCCTGCCCCCCCCATTTGCCTCCTCTTCTGGTGCGTTCTCCTTCGCCACCTCGACTTCCTCCTCCTCCCCCTCCTCCACCACATCGTTCTCCTCATTTGTGTCAATTCCTCCTCGTAACCCCCTCCTCCCCTGCCATATATGTAGGCCAGCAAAGAGAAAGAAAGCAGGCCTTACACAAAAAAAAAAAAAATTGAAAAGACGAAGTCCACCTCCTGATGTCAGACCATGGGCCTCTCTCTAGTCAACATTCCAGATTTATGTTACTGACTGCTGTCCAAAAAAAAAAAAAAAAGAGCACATGCCCAAAATTAGGCACAACTTGGCATGTTCGTACGTCAGACACGACACAAGGCATATCCTTTTGTCTGTGCTCTGCCATTGACGCATATTGATGCAGCACACCCCACTATCCCCTCAGCTTTGTGGTGGAGGGTTTTATTAACTTTTTTTTCTTTTTTGAAATACAGGGCCTTATGGTCCTGGCTCCTTGTCCATTCTGGGGAGTGTCAGTCCGGTTATTATTTCCCCGACAAATCAACAATGAAATACATGGTGAACACTCACGCTTCCTTCCGTTTGGCCAAAGGATCCCTGACCAGCATTGATTGCTCCCTATTGAAGGATTGAATGTCAGCTTGCCCTTCCAAGCTCTTCCGCTCAGGAACCGTGTCTGGTTCTGTCTGATAAAGCTTTGCTTAACAAGAATCGCTGAGAGACCGGCATCGCTCCTGTTGTATAATCGGTCTTTTCTTTGTTATTGTTGAGTATCATGGTGTATCCAATTGATACCGCTTCTTTCAAGCGAAATGACAGAATTCCAGAATCCAAAATCACATTGAAAGCCAGAAAGTCGAAGCTGTCCAGAAAGCAGATATGTACTGATATTCCACCAACGGAGAACCAAAGCACCGAATCCAAATGTCAAATGCCAATGAGAACATACTCCCGCCACCACCAACGTATGTATCCAGAGCCCTTTCTCCTACTTGACGCTCAGCGCCCAGATTACGATCACACAGCTACTGCCCAGCTATGAATTGACAATGCCACCTGTTGACGTCAGCAGCAACAACCGAAGTACATGAAGGTGTCGACCCTGTATACCATCGCCAAGACAGCATCATCCTCTCTCTCTCTCTCTCTCTCTCTCTCTCTCTCTCTCTCTCTCTCTCTCTCTCTCTCTCTCTCTCTCTCTCTCTCTCTCTCTCTCTCTCTCTCTCTCTCTCTCTCTCTCCTTCTTCACCCACGTCTTCTCCCTCATACATGAAGACCACCACCACCCTGCCAGCTACACATCCAACCCAAGCCCTCGCTATGTAGGGCTGGCTATGGTGCTGCTCTCAGCAGCGCCCTGCTTCTTGCACGACCGCACGCGCGCGCGCACTTGCCCCTAGTGCTGAGCATGCAGCCCACGAGCTCACGCTCCAGCAGCGCTGCCGCTTGCTTACACAAGTGCCGAATTCAATGCCCCGTAGCCCGGCCCTTTCCTGTATGGAAAGTGGCGGGGCTCGTTGCCTCCCGCTTGCCCCGTGAGACCGAGTTTCTAGTAGCTTCAGTCTCGGCCAAAGAGTCTACGCCCAGGCCCGTTCAGACAGTGGCCTGGGACCGGATGGGTTAGGCTTGCCCAACCACCCAGGCACAAACATGGGGTGTTCCCCTGCTTGCACCACGTTGCTGGAAGAGCCTGGAAAGCTCACAAAAAAAATCACATTCTCACAAGCAAGGCAGACGTAACCAACTGGAGCGTGGCAACTGTCTGGCGCCCACCACGATTTGCAAATAAGTTGTTTGGAATGTTTACACACATGTGGGACCCATTCAAAGAGATCGTAAATATGGGAATTATAGTAAAATATATTACCGACTCTGGTTCGGAACAGAAGAACTCAAAAAGTTTCTTCGAATTATCTTGCCATATATTCCTGTTCAAAGTATGCTAAGAAAAATGATGTTGCTTTACAAAGATGCTACGAATGCAGGGCACACTGAGTTTCAGGGGGCCTGCCTTCACTTACAGCGAGCATGCACCTGCTGCAGGGGCTTTACGCCGGTATGCCTAGGCTAAAATCCTCGCAGTTCCTCCTCCTTTACTTCGATAGTCCTCTGAGAAGTCCTTATGCAGCGGGCTGCTTCCCTTTCAGATTTCTTTCATAGCATGAGATAATCTGAGGAGCAGTCATTAACTCTTGTCTTGTTAACTACTGGTCTTCTTTAGGATCAGTATGGTCTCTGAACCACACTCGATACTGCATCTGCGGTTTTGGAGGGCGTCCCCTGCCTGGAGGCTTGGGCACAAGCATCAGCTTGTGCTCAACAATGTCGTCAATGTCCACGTGTCTGTCAATTTGGGGGCGGCATTGATCTTCTTGAGGGAAGCTGTCAGGGTGGTTCCATGATGTTATTTGCAGTCGGGTGCCCATCTGTTGGGCTGTACTTCGCCATAGTGCGCTTGTGAATCTGACATCCCTGTCACTAACGATGGACTTGTGGAGACCGAAGTCACGTACCCAGTTGTCCATGAATAGCTTGATGGCATGGTCAGTCCTAGCTGTCTCAGGCATAGCGATTAGTCTGGCATACTTACTAAACCTGTCCACAATGACGAAGATGTGACTTTTGCCGCTCTTGCTGGTCACAAGAGTATCCGTGAAGTCCATTGGCACACTCCGACCAGGACCAGCAGGGATAGGCAAGGGCTTAATAAGCCCAAGTGGTGCTTGTGTCCGTGGCTTGTCCCATTGACAAACCTGGCAAGTATCTACATATGTCTTCGACTCTTCGCATCAACCATCATTGTGGACCACTGAAAACGCTGCACTAAATTTGCTGCTGTCTTTTGTAACCGAAATGTCCGGTTACGTCATGGCACTTACGTAAAAATAAACTACGCAAAGACGTTCTAGACAGAATACATAATTGTTTATTCTCGTCCTTCTCAAGGAATAGCAAGCCATCAACCAGCACAAATCTCCGGATGTGGCCTTATCTTTAGCCTCAAGTTTGCACATGATCTTTGATATGATGGAATCCTCTCGATAGGCTTTCATCATAGACCGAGTAACATCATCAGAAATCCCAAACTCGGTCACTAGTGTGCCCATGTAGTTTGCCCAGCGTGATAGTGCATCAGCCACCTCGTTGTACTCTCCCTTCAGAGGGTCGTTTGGCTACGTCATGGCATGCACCTAAAAATAAATTATGCAAAGACTCTCTAGACGGAATACATAACTGTGTATTCCCGTCCTTTTCAAGGAACAGCAAGCCATCGACCAGCACAAATCGCCTGATGTGGCCTTATCTTTAGCCTCAAGTTTGCACATGGTCTCTCAGATCTCACATAGAAGAATCTGTGTAGGAGGTAATGCCTCCAGTGGACCAGCGCTCTATAGAGGGCACAGAGCTTTCACTCATACGTGGACTTCGCCAGTTTTTTAGATGGCATTTTGTTGCTCATGTACTCGATCGGCCTCAACTTTTTCCACTCCTTTTGCGTAAGGACAGCACCTATGCTATATTGCCTAGTGTCTTTGGTCACTACAAAGGGCATTTCAGGATCCGGAAGTTTGAGGACTCCTTAGTGTGTCAGGGCATACT